GTGTGTGTGTGTGTGTGTGTGTGTGTGTGTGTGTATGTGTGTGTGGCATTGGCGCGTATCCAGCTTTGTGAGTCAAAAATGCTTTGCGCGGAGGTTTAAGAGATGATGATTCGCATAGTACGCTAATTGTATCGTCAATATGACCGCATACGTGGAAGTCATTGAAATGATCATGTGTATTGTTCGTTCATGCTAGTATATTATCCCACGGGACATGAATACGCATCTTGCCACAGCTTTGTCTCTGACAGCCAATCAGATTTCCAGCAAAAGCAGTGTAAGCAAGCAGGGGTAAAAGCTCCCGACCGGCTAACATGATTTGGAGGTCTTTATCCGTTCATCATTGGAGGTCTTTATCCGTTCATCAACCGTCACATGGGCGGACCGACTCCTTTGCATCCTCGCAACGACGGCAAGTGAACATGGCGGGAAAGAAACGGCAGATTCAGAAGGCCGGACACTTACCGTGGAGCGGCTGGATCATTTGCCGATCTATGTGTGTCATTCTTGCGCAGGGGCCACGCTAATCTTCTCTTTTTCCGTATCGTTTCAATTTTAATGATGTCCTGACGGAGGAATCAGGCGGAACGCGTCGTAGACTAGGAGTGGATCTGGCTAAAGTGATCAGCCGGATCCCGCTTATGAAGGGGCGACTGGTGGTGGAGGCGGTATGCACATGTCTGAGGGACAACGCTGTTATCCATGGCCTTCGGAGAAATCTACAGGAGAGCGTTCCAATTTAGCCCCGTCAAGATCGCGAACGAGTAAAGCGAGGGCGTACCCACTTTAGGACCGTGTAGTCGAAAGATTTTCTTGCATTTTGTGCCTGAAACATCAATAGAATATTAGAATATCCGGGTAGACTGGAATGCCCCGGATCTGTCTCTACTGTATATAGAAGTCCTACATGCGATGATTAGAGACGATTGTCGAATTGGTGACCTGGTGCTTCCGAAGGGCGGCTCGGCAAAATCTCACGCATTTGCAGACGACATAGCCTTATTCCCGTCTGCTTCAGCAGCAGTCTTCCGACGCTTCAAAGCAGAATCTGTCTGGCCTGGTTTGCTTTTGTAGCAGAGGCTAAAGAGCCTCGTTCCACACCACTCGAGATCAAGAGCGACGCAAAAAATCATCGTTCCACCCCCCCCTTAGAGCGACCTGCTCTGTTTTCACATTTTTGCCTCCCAAGGGGCGCGACAGGCAAAATCGCACTTGAACTCAAGTCACCTCCCGGAGGTACCTTGAGTTCAAGAGCAGACCTGAAACCGGGTACTTCGTTCGTTTTTTTTTGTTTTCAAGTTAATTTTCAAGTGTTCCAGGTCCACGGCTGGTTTTCGTTCGTGGCCACGCGTAGATCTGCAAACCTTCCGTTGGTGGTGTCCGGTAGAAGCAGTGGTACCGCGGTCGCGGCGATACCGCGGGCATTTGAGGTCGTTGCCGCGCTACCGAAGTCCGTTGGGCGGTTACCGTGTTTTGAAATTCAAAAGTTCGTGTGCGGAGGGAGGGGAAGGGCCGGGGTTGGGAGGGGTGGGTGGTGGTCAGTTGGGGTGCACACGACAGCATGAGTGCTGTCGTCTGTACTACAAGACAACGGGACTCAACTCCGGAGCCACACTGTAGACATTGCCTCCTACTTCGCTCTGCGAGCACTTGCATGGCCGACCATGAGGAAGTTGATTTTACTCTGTCTCCTCCTTCTCGTCCTGCTCGTCGTCGTCCTAGTGCACTTCCGCTCATTGCTGCGGCTCCGTTATCTGCCTCGGAGGCGGAAAACGACGAAAGTGGTGAAGCAGTCCGGGCAAAAAGGACACATGACAAGCAGTGACAGGCACGAGCAGTTCTTGTACAGCATGGGGGGTGGGTGCGATCAACGGTCGTCGGGCATGCCCCGTTTCGACCCGGCCCTGTATGCGCACCTGCCGTCGTGGCAAAAGCCACTGCCTGACGGCGAGTCATGGGAACCACCATCGTCTGCCGTCCCCCTGGCGTACGGATCGACGCAGTCCATCTCTGACTGTCGGATGCAACGACCGGATCTTCGCCAGCGGCAGGGACCCATGACATCTCTCCTGATGCATGGACAGCAGCAGGGCATGGGACCGCCTCTCAAACTGCAGCTTTCATCTGGGGGGCAAGCGACCGTATCGAGAACTTTGCTAGTCAATCCCAGTGGCCTATCTCAAGGCGAGCCCTCGATCGGGTGCGAGGGACGGCGGTCGATCACTGTTAGGGTGCAGCAGCCAGCGTTTCCAGTGAACTATGGCGGAGTGGGCGGGCCACTCCCGAGAGTTCCCGGCGGTGGTCGGGGGACCGCTGCAACGACGGGGGGGCAAGCGGAGAGCAGAGAGGCGAATGTGGTGGAACACATCATCGCACATGTGTCCACAATGCGTGCGACAAGTGATGGTGACGGAGGTGGGGAGGGTGGGGTTGACGATGACATGTGTGAAGACGTGGATGAAGTAGAGGAGGAGGAGGAAGAGGAAGAGGAGATGGAGGACGAAGTTCTCCCGCCTTCAAGCGGCCACAAGAAGACACCTGCGAAGAAAGCGACTTTGAAGGGGCGGGGTAAAGGGAAGGCGGGCAGCGGAGGGCGGACTATATGGAATCTGGACGATTCCCTCACTCTTGTCCGTTGTAAGCGGGATCAAGACGAGGCCTTGGCGGCCGCTGGACACAACTTCGCGCGCATGAAGAACAAAGAATGGAAATGGACGGACGTTGCCAACCACATGGGGGCGTTGGGGGTGAAGAGAGATTGGGACCAATGTATGAAATGGTGGGAGAATATCTTCTCGTGGTACAAGAAAGTGCAGTTGAGAGAGGAGTCAGGCAAGCAATCTTTCTTCACTCTCACGCCAAAGCAGCGAAACGAGGAAGGGTATAAGTTCCAAATGGATCGCCGTCTGTTCGAGGCGATCGATGTGGGCCAGCATGGCAACCAGACCATTCACCCACCGAATCTGGTGGATACCGGCCTGTCTCAGCTGCAAGGAGGGAGAAACGGTGGGGGAGGAGAAACTTCTGCGAGCGAGAATGGGGAGACGGGGGGGGGGGGRGGGATCAGGAAGCAGATCATCCGGAGGTTTTAAATTTTCGGAAAGGAAAAATGCACGCCAACAGGCATTCGAGGCGGTCACCGATGTGATGAACGCACACTCTACCGTCGTTGCGGATTCCGTGGACAGGGCGAGCAAGAGACAATGCGACGTGTTGCAGCGGCAGTGCGATATAATGGAGAGGGAGGTGAAAGTGCAGGAGACATAGTGTGCAGTGCTGGACGCAGGGCAGCGCATGTTGTGCGAGGCATTGATGAAGATAGCGGAAGCCCTGGCGAGGCCTTGATGGCTTCTCGCGAACTGTTTCCGTGTCCCATGGAGAAGAATGAGCAGGGGTGCAAGGTGGGGTGGGGGGGGGGGGGGGGGGGGGGGGGGGGGGGGGGGGGGGGGGGGGGGGGGGGGGGGGACGGTCTTGAATGTTGGGGGTGGGGGGGGTATTGGGGTTGTCGATTCGGTTCGATGTTCATCAAGCCGGCGTGATTGTTTTTCATGTATCTGGACTTTTTTTTTTTTCACGGCTAATTCCAGCCCTCGCCTTGTTCACCACTCACGCCGTGTTTTGCGCTATTTAAGCGATGCTTCAACCGGTTGTACAGAAGGCGTCTGCGGCGGTCCACCTCCTAATGTTCCTTTGCAAGGCGCCATCACCACAAAGCGGTCATTCCGAGCAGGATGTCACGATAGGCGGGGAGGCCTGGCGGTGTGGAACGGACGATCGGTTGGTGGTGTGTGTTGAAGGGGGAGTGGGTGGGTGAGATAGTAAGTGCTCGCGCCAGGGTAGGTCGATCGCCAATTTCTTGTTGTCTGTGCGGCATGAACATCGTCATAGCTTGCAGGGGGCCGGTGCTGGGCAAGAGTCATGTTCTACGAGTTCAAGCAGAGGAGGGGGGACGGAGATGGTCGCCACGTGGAAGTTGGCGATGCCGTAACTCGTGAGGATTGGCGGCATTATGAAGTGGATGCCGACGGACTTGTCTGCAGTTGGCTGTCCATCTAGGGTTTGCACATCGTTTGCTACGCGATGTCGTGATCTTCGTGACGAAGATCGGTTCCGCAGTGCCCAACCGCTGGACAGGGGGTGTCGATGTCACAGGGGACATGGTGCGAATGCTCGTCTCCGTGCTGGCGAAGGAGTTTGAGGAGCGCCTTCACTGCCCGTCCACGTTTCGAGTTGTGGTCGATGCGCCGCTAGAGCCCAGAGACGATCTGCACGGGAATGTTCGCATCCTGAGAGGCGACGTCTTCTGAGCTTTCCTTTGCAGAGCGCCTTTTCCGACTTCGTTGTTTCCGTGACTGGATAGCGGTTCTTTCATTTTTGCGAAGCATTCTCGAGTGCGCGCGCGCACGCGAGAGAGAGAGAGAGAGAGAGAGAGAGAGAGAGAGAGAGAGAGAGAGAGAGAGAGAGAGAGAGAGAGAGAGAGAGAGAGAG